GGGGGGGGTAATAGTCTACTTTTGTTTTATTTTATCATATTCCTTTTCTTTGGGATTTTATTTTTAGTTGGGAAGGAGAGGGAGTGGGTTTGCAGACAAACAAATGATTCAACTCCAAGATAACGGAAGAGGGTTGCGGAGCACCGAAAGAAAGATGCCACAGATATACAATAGAACTGAGATGGGAGACAGATGAATGTAAAAATGGGGAGTGGGAAGGAATATGGATTAGTTTAAAAGATAGTATGCCTGACAGAGGGAAGAAGACCTACTTAAAAGAAATGTTGTTACTTATTAATTGCTTGACTCGAAGCTGATCCCATCATTTTTAGTTGCTATCTTGTATATTATGTAAGTAATGGGATACTTTTGGTCATTTGCATTCACATTTGATTAAAATGACATGGGCACGTTTGTCTGATTTGTTGTTGTTGTTGTCGTTGTTGTTGTCGTTGTTGTCGTTGTTGTTGTTGTTGATGTTATTGTTGTTGTCGTTGTTGTTGTTGTTGATGATATTAATATCGTTGTTGTTTTTCTTCGTTTGGGTTAGTTTTGTTTTTGCTTTTGGGGCTTTTTTATTTTGCTTTTGTTATTTTAATTTCTTTCGACAAATAACATTTGAATTTGAATTAAAATCTTCCTTTAGCACATGCAAACCGATACACAGATTGAGAATCTGCAATAAAAAAACAAACAACCCAAAACATTTCAGTATGTTGGGCTTAGTACATTTGGACCTCTGGTGTCGTCAAAACTCGGATGACACAGCCACCTTCCACGACACAAAAGGTGAATGAAGATGATGAAAACTGACACCTTCCATTGTGACCACGGACCTCAAAGTCTTTTTCACCCGCTTAATTCTTCATGACATGCGATATGACCCAAGAAAAGATAATGTAACTTCTCCAATACTGGAGTCGGATATGGGGCAATGTTCCAATTCCACATTATCATATTCGATTTAATAAATTAACGTTGTTCTTGAGGAAGTACTCTCAAGGGCGTGTAACTGAGATGAAGGAAGGGATAAAGGATCTGTTACATTCAATTTTGTGAGAACCTGATTAAAATCTATACAGAGAAGATGGCTTTTAGTAATGAAATATCTTTCTTTCTCTCTCTCTCTCTCTCTCTCTCTCTCTCTCTCTC